ACTCGATGGATAAGAAATTGGTTGAAAGGCCACAGACAGAGGGTGGTCATCAATGCTTCTACGTCCAGGTGGAGGCCGGTAATGGGACAGGTAACGAGACCCCCCAGGGGTCTGTCTTGGGACCAGTGCTCTTTAACATCTTTATCTGTGTTCTGGGCTGCATTAAAAAATGGGTGGCCAGTAGGAGGAAGGAAGCGGCTGTCTCTCTCTACTCGACTCTTGTAAGGCCCTATCTGGAGTACTGCGCCCAGGCCTGGGGCCCCCACTACAGGAAGGACATGGAGCTTTTGGAGCAGCTCCAGCAGAGGGTGACTAAGATGATTAGAGGGCTGGAGCACCTCTCCTATGAGGAAAGGTTGAGGGAAGTGGGCTTGTTTAGCCGGCAGAAGAGAAGGCTCTGGGGAGTCCTCATTGTAGCCTTCCAGTACTTGAAGGGAGCATATAAACAGGAGGGGGAGAGGCTGTTTACGAGGGTGTATAGTGATAGGACAAGAGGGAATGGTTTTAAACTGAGACAGTGGAGGTTTCGGTTAGATATTAGGAGGAATTTTTTCACACATAGGGTGGTGATGCACTGGAACAGGTTGCCCAAGGAGGTTGTGGATGCCCCATCCCTGGAGGTATTCAAGGCCAGGCTGGATGTGGCTCTGGGCAGCCTGGTCTAGTGGTTGGCAACCTTGCACACTGCAGTGGGTTTGAAACTAGATGATCATTATGGTCCTTTTCAATCCAGGCCATTCTATGATTCTATGATTCTTAGCTCCAAGATATTGATGTGCAATTTTAACAGTGAAAACATATAATGTATAACTTCTTCTTCAGCTGAACACAGCAACCTTTCTCTGAGGTATGTAGTAAGTGTTGCTGATTAAACAGTCAAGATGAAATCCTCTGTAAATTCAAGTCTAATTACCTAGCAAATCTCAGAATTTGGGGATTCTTGTATAGTGTTTCTATTGGTAAGACAGATTGCTAGCTCAGGGAAAGCATACAAAGTTTGGCAAAAGCATTTATTAGATGTAAGAATGTTGACACAGTCTGATATTTCCAGTTATGTTGTTAGATTTGCTGCAGCATCTGTTAGAATGGAAACACTAGCCTTTAAAAAAAACTTGTGGATTCTATCATATGAGAAAATATAAGATCATGTTTCATAGTTAACGGAATTTTTTAAGGCCACATGACTTCTAGCTACAATCGATTCCTAATCACATTTCCTAATCTCCTACTTATTTCTTTACAAATAAATGTGAATACCTTATTTAAATGTATTATGACTGGTCAGGGTATTTGAAAGAGATTAACTCCAGATGGAACTACATCTGAATAATGTATCAACTTGGATGAAATACTTGGATTCCTATCAGCGTTCAGCTGTTAGCAGGGTAAACGCCCTCTAGTTCTATCTGGTGTGATTTTTCAAAGCTATAGAACATGCTACAAGTGATTAATATGGTTTGAGTGAGACAGTAATAAATATTTACTTATGTATATACTCAGGTTTCCTCAGAACAGATTACATACCCTACACACCTCTGTTTCTTTCCTACTGGGGGCAAACGGAAATAACCAGAAGTGGAGACCTTTACATTTGCCCTAGCCAGAAGAACAAGGCCATATCTGTTCATAAGAAATAAGTGTGAGGTAACTGTGCATGAGTGCAGAAAGCAAGACAATAAAGTTCAAGGGCTGAAGTACAAAGGCTAGCAGTTACAAAAGCTAGCGTTCACTTCAACACTAACACAAAACACACAAAATACAATTGTGTAACAATTTTTGAGGTATTTTTGAATGGGTGTTTCCACAGTTTTAAGATTTATTTTGCACTGAATGATTAATATATCTTGTTTCATTTGTGTCTTTCTGAAGCATAAACAGGCTTTCTTATAGAATGACACTAGCTTCCACCGTGATTTGCAAAAGGAAGCTGACAGTTCTGAGGTAGACTTTACAGATGTTAAAGAGTTCAACCTGTCACATAGCAGGGGGTTAAAACTAGATGATCATTGTGGTCCTTTTCAACCTGGGCTACTCTTTGAAACTAAGAGTCTTGCAAGATCTGCATGAAGAATGTCACTTTGATTATCAGTTGCAACACAGTTAAGGACCTCAAAAACCCTAATGGTTCAAAAATATCCTTCAGGTGAAGAAAGTGGAAGTATAGTCCTTTAAGGCAATTTGTCAGGTCCTTGGACATCTCTCACTCAAATTTCCTATGCAGCTCCAAAAAGTCTGTGTTGCATAGACTAGATTCTACATTCATCCATTCATCCTTTGTTTAAAAATTATTGGGTTTTTTGTTTGTTTGTTTGTTTGTTTGTTTGTTTAATACAAAAGATCAAAGACATTTTCTGAGTTTCCAATCAGTACTTTCTTACAGGATGCAACATAAAATTTTTCTTCTGACATATAAGAATAATCCTGTCATTTGATACTCCCATGTCCCATCTGTTTACATGGGTGGCTAACAGATGAGTTTCACCAGGAAGTCGAAACATTAGAAGCATGTTTCATCAGTGTTCTTCAGTGTCCTTCAGTTTTCGGGACCTGTTTCTGCTTTATATAAAACAAATGACTTCCCTCAGTCATGGAGGACTACCTCCATGTAAAATACACTAAAAACAAAACTGAACCTATTTGAAATGCTCAAAAGTTCAAACCAGAAACAAGTAAAAGTTCTTAGAGCAGGAATTGAGCTCTTTGTCTTTCAATTAAGATAACTACACATTCTTTAAAGAAACAATATTCTTCCTGTAGCATTTGGAGTAGATGCAAGATCTCTAAATGAAATACTGCAACTGGTCTAATGCAGAAAATCAAAGGCATAAAAAAGCAGTTTCTCTCCATTCTCAAAGTCTATCTTGATTTCTCTTCTGCTTACCTGAAAATACATAACATATAAACAGTAAACTATAACCGTCTTCTCATATCTAGAGGTTCTTACCTGGTAAAGCAACTGTACCGTCCTGCTCCAAAGTTTCAGGATTTATTCTTATGGCTGTCATACTGTGATTGTTCACATCTCTATATAATAAATAGCCCTAGAAAAAGTAAGAGTACATATTGGTATGAAAATATGCTCAAATACAAGGTATTGTCAAAAAAATAAAATATATTTTGTTTTGATATTCAACTTTTTTTTTTCAGTGGTAAAACTATAGCATAAAAACTAAAAATTTGGCACTCTCCACACTTACTGCACACTTCAATCAGCATGCTGATAACTCACACACAGCTTCTGTAAGTGTATTAAAAGACTAGAGAATTTTTCAAAAACGTTAATTAAGTACTTTGACTCGCACTAGAGAGAGCTTTTTAAACTCTTAATGAAAAAAATTCTTTAAAGTACATGATGATTTTGGTGACAGCAGCCACAATAGAGAATTTTACATACAATGAGCTATTATATTGTTTACCTCCCAGCTCCTGGCCAAACCTACGGGAAGGGATGCATTCAGGACTAATGATTTACAGGTAGTATATCTTCATCTCTTCAAGATTATCTGTCTAGTCAGCAGTCCACATTAATGTTTGTTATATCAAATTATATTCTCTATGTTCATATGTGTATTTTTTAGTTTTCTTTCTTGTTTGTTTGCTTTTGTCTTTAAGTTTCTCAGTTACCAGCTCAGCTGGCTTCTTCTAAAAAAAAGATTTAACTATCTGAAGTTCACATTTATGTTTTTGAACTTATAACTTTGAATGAGCATATTAACACAGTCAAAAACGTCGTGTATATAATCTACTCTGACATTAATAAAGCCTTTGATGCTGTTTCCCAAATCATTCTGGAAAAATTGGCAGCTTATCATGGTTTAGACAGGTATATGCTTCACAGGTAAAAAACTAGCTGGATGGCCAGGCCCAGAGACTGGTGGTGAATGGAGTTAAATCCAGCTGGTGACCAGCTCCAGGGGTTCAGACTGTCCTGTTCAATATCTTTATTGTTGAACTCTACAAGACTGAGTGCACCTTCAGTAAGTTTGCAGATGACACCAAGTGGGAGGAAGTGTTGATCTGCTTGAGGATAGGAAGGTCCAACAGAGGGATCTGGACAGATTGGATTGATGGGCTAAGGCCAGTGGGAGGGATACAGTTCAACAAGACCAAGCGCCAGGTCCTGTGTTTTGGTCACAACTACCCCATGCAAAGCTACAAGCTTGGGGCAGAGTGGCTGGAAAGCTGTATGGAGGAAATGGACTTGTGGATGCTGGTTAACAGCCAGCTAAACACGAGCCAGCAGTGTGCCCAGGTATGCCAATTGCATCATGGCTTGTATCAGAAATAGCATAGCCAGCAGGACCAATAGACCAGGAAAGTGATCATTCCCATCTACTCAGCACTGGTGATGCCGCACCTTGAATACTGTGTTCGGTTTTGGGCCTCTCACTACAAGAAAGACATTGAAGCCCTGGAGTGCCCTTCCAAAGAAGGGCAATGAAGCTGGTGAACGGTCTGGAACACTAGTCTTATGAGGAACTGAGATTGTGTAGTCTGAAGGAGACGCGGGGGAGACCTTATCACTCTCTACAACTACCTGAAAGAAGGTCATAGAGTGGGTGGGTTCAGCCTCTTTTCCTGGGTAACTAGCAATAGGACAAGTGGTAATTGCCTCAAGTTGTACCAGGAAAGGTTCAGGTTGGGTGTTATGAAAAATTTCTTCTCTGAAAGTGTTCAGAGGCCCAGAGAAGTGGAGTCATCATCCCTATAGGTGTTCAAGAAACTTGTTCATGTGGCATTTAAAGACATGGTTTAGCAGGCACAGCGTTGATGGTTGATCATTGGACTAGATGATCTTAAAGGTCTTTTCCATCATTAATGATTCTATGTTTTGCTTCACTTTAATCTTTAATTTCACTTCTTTAGACAGCTTGCATAAGCCCACAGTTCTGTATAACAAGTATAAGAGTTATTTGCATATTAGGGGCATCTGGCCACTTTGTTCTATCTTTTTAGGTCTTGCAATGTCTTAACACCTTGCAAAGGTGTTAAGGGCAGGATAGGAACACTTGGGGAAACCACATTTAGAAAAAATTTCTGCTACAAAAGCAGCTACAGGAAAAGAAAAACATTACTTAATGGCATTTATGAATATATTCATTAAATGTAACTGAGGCCAAGCAAATTAGAATCCACCTGGAGGTTTCCAGAAGCCAATTTGAATAATGACTAAATGACGATTCCAATAATGGCAGCATCATACTAAGAGATTTGACAGTGGCTTACATTTGCTTGAAGCATGACTGGTCTCAGGTGGAGATTCTACACATCTAAAAAATGGATGCATTTTACAGTCTAGTCACTAAGGCCTAGCCTCAAAATATCTTTGTTTACCATATTCAGACTCCAACTACAATCACCTAACTTATAGAGACAGATAGACAGCTCTAACTCACTCTTTCTTCCTTCTAAACTATTTACATTTTTCTGGATAAATCAAGCTGAGATGAGGGGAAAAAAAAACTACGCAGACTAGGAAAAAGTGAACAGCATTAATGTAGCTAGTAAAGCTTTAGTTTAAAATAATTTGCATGATTAAATAAGAAAAATCACTTAAACTTGAGCTGACCTAAGCAAGCACCTGAAAGGAAATGAGACTGAGGACACTCTTATTCATTTGAAGTAAACTTGTGCACATATACGTAACCTCCCTAACTGACTTTTAAACAACTAGCAGTGCCTTTGCTTGGGCACAGTTGCTGTGTGACTGCATAGAGCTGTATAAGCATGCAAAGAATAACATGGTAATGTATTTACAGCTATGTACAGACTGCGCAAATGTGTAATCGTTTACAGAGATACTGTATGGATCCTAATCCTTTCCAGAGTGATAAAAAAAGGCTCCTGAATGAATGCATCATCATGCATTTGTACTGCACTGGTGTACCTTTAGATAACATATCTGTTTTACTACTAAAAAAAAAAAATCAACACTCATATAAATATATATAAATATATACAAATATATGATATCTGTGATAATAGCAGTAATTTTTGAAGTTATGGCAAGTATATATACAGTTTCAAGCAAGGATAATGAGATCACTTGGTTAATAGTAAACACACAATAAAAATTTAGTTCAAAAACTTAGAGTTCTCTCAATGTATTTATTTTCTGAAAACACCCAGTGCTAATAACAGGATTCTGAAAACAAAACAAACAAAAAACGCACATCAAAACTATTTCTATAATGAACTGCAACAGTGTGAGAAAAGTTTCCTGATTCTCCATAAATTGACCCTAAACAAACCAAAGCATCCAAACGCAGCTAAAATTTCCTGGAGTTAAGGTCAACAATAGGTCTCCTTATGGTTTATGCACCCCTCAATCCTCAGTCAATCAAAACAATACTTTTGTATTTTCTGTAAATGTATTAAAAACAATTCATTTTTGCAAATAGCACTTATCAGCATTTCTTACAGTACTTTGTTCCAATGGAGTTTTATATCCACCAACTTAATCAATGGTGTACTTCTTAAATAATGAAGTGTGACCGCAAAATTCATAAATAAAAAATGTTAAATCACGTTTGAGAAGTGACAAGTAAGAAATAACTATGATAATAAATGCCACATTCCATTATTTCTTCCAACAAATATCTTATAGATGAATGTAATCTTCCACAATAATTTAGAAGTCAGTAACAAATAAGTTAAGCCAAAGGAGCAATACAATTTCTGTGTAAGCTTATTACTTTAGGTCACGCTTTACTTAAATTACTCTGTGGAGAGTGGAGAGCATTATGTGTTACGTTTCAAGTATTCACCTACCTGAGCATAGCCTAACCAAGACTTTTTTTCCTTTCTGTTTTTGATGCGAGATGTAGAATTGTATATATGGCCCTAGAAAGCAGAAAATTCAAATTGTTAAGCAAAGCTCAGAATAACATTTATGTAAATAATCATTTATAAACTAAACAACACATTGAGAAAAGTAAACTATAACAAAATGCTGTAAAACTCACAGAAATCATCAGAAAAAAAATAGACAAATTATAGAACTGTAAACTACAAAAGATTCTCAGTAGAATTGTGTCATCTTAAAAACCTGTATTTTAGCTATCATTCACCATACAAGAAATAACATTACCCTCACTGTCCCGCTATATCCAGAGCCAATCTTGTAAAGTCCATCTTTACATAAGAGATAGAGAAAGAAACCATCACTCTGAAGTAGGCACTGGTCATCTTCATCTACAGATATTTCTTTCAATGGCCATTTGTGCATCAAGGCTGCCTTCTTTATTCCATTACTGAACCAGTCCTGGATTTGGATTTTGCCCACCAAAACTGCCTGTACACTCCGCTGAAGAGAATTTAAAATTGTTGGCACCTAAAAACAGTAAAAGAAATAGTGAAAAACCATGCCTATTTTTAAACATACTATTTTAAGTTCTATCTCCAACTCAAGAGGCAGAAAGAAATATTTACTTTTTACCTCAAAAAAAAAAAGCAAGAAAAAAAATGAAAAAACTGAATTTGCACATTAGATATCAGAATTCATATACACAAAATTTCCAGATATGAAGAAGTTGTAGTACACAACCTGAATAGTTTGACATGCGTGGCTGCCATTATTGGTTAGGATAGCAGAGATCGCTTGCAACGTTCTTCCCGTCTCTCCCCATGCAGCTACCAAACTGAAGAGGCACGCGCAGGAAAGTGCTGTTAAGGACTGTCCTGTACTGTCGCTCATTCCCGTGCTACGGACAGTTATCTCCAGAAGAAGCTGAAACAGGGATTCTGCAAAAAAGAACAGCAATTCAACAGACACGTCACAAAACTATACTAAGCAATTTGCCAATCAACAGGAAATTAATTTGAACCTAGAAAATATATGGTATCTTTCCTCACTCGTTAAGTTTATCCTTACTTTCAGAGAGAAAAGAAAGCACCCTGTTTAGGTAAGCCTAAACTAATCATCCTTAACTTGACTTTCTTTTTCATCCAGAAAAAGTAAGCCTATAAATCACAAGGAACAACAAAAAAAATCTCAAGTCTTTCTGATATATCTGAACACAACAGTAAGTGATGAAGGAGTTACTTTACCTGCCTTCCAGTCTACCTCATCATTGAGATGATGTGTAGGTTTCCACAGGTCTTGCCTAATCTTTATGATCACTATACCCATGATCACACACCCCATTTTTCAGGAATAAGCATTTCAAGTTACAGCTTGAAAGTTACATTGGATCATATGCCATTTTCAAGTACTGTTCACAGTGCCTGAAAGGCTGAATATCTGAAAGAATCAAGGTGTGAACAGAAATCTACTTCAATTCTTGTGTGCTCCGAAATTATGTGGCAAAGTTTTCATAGTGGAGGGCTGCAGGGGTGGTCTCTGTGATCAGAGACAGTTTCAACTGCTCTAAAAGGGACACATCTGGCCACATCTGGCCAGAGCAGAATCATGAGAGATGCTGTCTATGCCTCTGGGAAAGCAAATTTAAGGGAAAAGCACAGAGACAGCAACTGCGAGAGAAAAGTGAGAAATGTGAGACAAACAGCCTTGCAGACACCAAAGTCAAATCAGGAGGAGGGTAGCCAGCACTGCAGGTGCCAGAGAAGTTCCCTGCAGCCCATAGAGAAGCTTATGGTGGAGCAGTCCATATGCCTGCAGGACGTGAAAGACAGTACTGTGGCAGGTGCGTGTGGACAGAAGGAAGCCTGTGAAGAACCCATACAGGAGCAGATTGTTGGCAAGAACCACAGCCCGTAGAGAGAAGCACACACTGTAGCAGGTCTTCTGGCAGCAACTGCAGCCCTGTGTGAGACCCTTGCTCATATAGTCTATTCCAGAAGGACTACAGTATGCCACAGGAACAGATTCATGCAGAAGCAGTTCTTAAGCAGTTCTTCTTGTTCCCCCAATGAAAGCTAATGGGGAGCTGGCTTCCTCAGACACCGAAAAAGCTGAGGTACTCAGTGAGTGCTTTGCCTCAGTCTTCACAGGTGGTCAGGTTTCCCATGTCTGCCAGGACTATGGGCCTCTAGATGAGGGTGTGGGGAGTGGTTTCCTTCCTACTGTAGCAGTGGAAAAGATCTGAGACCTCAAGAAATTGAACATATAAAAGTCCACAAGGCCAGATGATATCCATCCTAAGGTTCTGAAAGAGATGGCCAATGTGGTTTCTGAGCCGCTCCCCATCATATTTGAAAAATCATGGCTGTCTGGTGAAACTCCCAGCGACTGGAAAAAGGGAAACGTTACTCCCATTTTTTAAAAAGGGAGAAAGGAAGACCCAGGGAACTACGGGCCGGTGAGCCTCACCTCTGTGCCTGGGAAGATCATAGAGCAGATCCTCCTAGAAGCTATGTTAAGGCACATACGAGATAAAGAGGTGATTTGAAACAGCCAGCATGGCTTCACCAAGGGCAGGTCATGCCTGACCAATCTGGTGGCCTTCAATGATGGAGTGACAGCTTCGGTGGACGGGGGAAGAACAGTGGATGTCATCTACCTGGACTTCTGCAAGGCCTTCGACATGGTCCCTCACCACATCCTTCTCTCTAAATTGGAGAGGTGTGGATTTGAAGGATTGTTTGATGGATGAGGAATCGGCTGGCTGGACCCAGCCAAAGGGTTGTGATCAATGGTTTTGTGTCAGCGTGGAGGCCAGTCACAAGCAGCGTCCCTCAGGGGTCGGTCTTGGGACCAGTGCCCTTCAACACCTTTGTTGTGGTTTTGTGATTTTTTGTTGTCAGTATTCCACATCAGAACATCACGTGGACCAGTGGAAGTTAAAGAGTTAATGTTCTGGTTCCATTTACTGCCTTTTATGGGCGCTTTGAGTATCCTGATGAGAGGGGAGGGGGCAGCACCCTCGGAGGACCTGGCAGGAAGAGGAAGTGGGGTGGAGCTCCGGACAGGGCCCGAGTGTCTGCCTGTCTTCCTCTGGTCCCGACTCAGCCGTCTCAGCTCGCCGTGGAGAAAAGCACGTGCTTTCCCTCACACTATCATGGTTTGACTCTTGTCTCTCTTGTTTTATTTGATTTAGTTAAATTCAGGAAATTACCGTTCCTCCTCAGATCGTTGCCCCTGTGGTTTCATTAAAACTATCTGCAAGATCTCTGCCCTTCCCCCTCTCCCAGAGTGCATGCAGCCTGGGGCTGGCTGAGTGGCAGCAAACCCTTAGTACTCCTTCCTTTTTTTTTTTTTCTTTTTCCCAGGGCCTGGGCCCCCTTGTCACGGACTTACATCTAAGGATAACCCTGTGACAACCTTCATAAAGGACAGACAACAGCATCGAGTGCACCCTGAGCAAGCTCGTGGATGAGACGAAGCTGAACAGTGCAGTCGATACGCTGGAGAGAAGGAAAGCCATCCAGAGAGACCAGGACAGGCTGGAGAAGTAGGTCCATGAAAACTTAATGAGGTTCAATAAGGCTCACTACAGGGTGCTGCTGGTGGACAAGAAACTCAACATGAGCCAGCAGGCCCAGAAGGCCAACTGTGATCTGGGCTGCATTAATAAAGGGGTGGCCAGCAGGGAGAGGGAAGTAATTATCCCTCTCTACACAGCTCATGTGAGTACTGCACGCAGGCCCAGGGCCCCTGCTACAGGAAGGACAAGGAGCTTTTGGAGCAGTTCCAGCAGAGGGTGACTAAGACGATCGGAGGGCTGGAACACCTCTCTATGAGCAAACGTTAAGGAACTGGGCTTGTTTACTGGGAGAAGAGAAGGCTCCAGGCAGACCTCATTGCGGCCTTCCAGTACTTGAAGGGAGTGTATAAACAGGAGGGGGGAAGAAGCTGTTTATGAGGTTGGATAGTGATAAGACAAGAGGGAATGGTTTTAAACTGAGACCAGGGAGGTTTAGCTTAGATATTAGGAGGAAGTTTTTCACACACAGGGTGGTGATGCACTGGAACATGTTGCATAAGGAGACTGTGGGTCCCTGGCCGCATTCAGGGCCAGGCTGGATATGGTCTAGTGGTTGGCAACCTTGCACCCAGCGGGGGGGGTTGAAGCTCCATGATCATTGTGGTCCTTTTCAACCCAGGCCATTCTATGATTCTATGATTGAAGAACCATCGCCACCAGTCCATGTTGGAGTAATCTGTGAAGGACTTGTATCCTGTGGGAAGGACTCCATGGTGTAGCATTGTGTCATGGAAGAACGTGAGCAAGACAAAGTAGCAGAGAGGAAGCATGCTCTGGATCCAGCTGGGACAGAGTTCACTTTCTCTTCATACCATCTAGTATGATGTAATGTTTTGGCTTTGGGAAAAAAACAATGCTGATAACACACCAAAGTATTAGTTGCTATGGAGCAGCACTGAACAAAGCGAAGGACATTTCAGCTTCTTGTACTGTTCTGGCAGAAAGGGGGACCTAAGGGAGCACAAGGAGCTGAGAGGAAACAGAAACAGGTCAGCTTACCTAACCTGGCCAAACTGACATCCCATACCACATGAGATCATGTGAGAAAACCATAAAATGGAAGATTTGGCCAGGGTGGCTGAGACTGCTCAGGGACTGGAGTAGGCATTGGTTGACACATGTTAAGCAGTTTCGTAAAGTCACAGAGTTACAGAATCCTTAGAGTTGGAAGAGACAATTAAAGAACATCTAATTTAACTCCTCTGCAATGAGCAGGGACATGCACAGATAAATCAGGTTGCCTAGGGCTTATCCAGCCTCACCCTGAAACTCTCCAGGAGCAGGGCACCAAGCACATCAGTGGGCAACCTATTCTTGTGCATCACCACCCTCACTTCAAAATATTTCTTCCTTATATTTAACCAGAATCTACCATCTTTAAGCTTGAAATTGCTTACCTGCATTCTATCAAAACCGATTTTGCCAAAGAGTCTGTCCCCTTCTTTCCTGTCATTTCCCTTTACATACTGAAAGGCCACTATCAAGTCACCTTGCTGTCAGGCCAGCTCTTCTCCAGGCTGAACAGCCCCACCTCTTTCAGCCTGTCCTCATAGGAGAGGTGTTCCATTCCATGGATCCTTTTTGTGGCCCTCCTTTGGACATGCTCCAACAGGTCCATGTCTCTCATGTACTCAGGACTGCACATCTGGACACAGTACTCCTGGTGAGGCCTCACCAGCACAGAGTAGGAGCAGGATCACCTCCCTCAACTGCTGGCCATGCTTCTTTTGATGCAGCCCAGGATACGACTGGCTTTCTGGGCTGCAAGGGTGGACTGCTGGTTCATGTTCAGCTTGCCATCCACTGGTACCCCCAGGTCTTTTTTTGTCAGGGCTGCACTCAATCCTTTCATTTCCCAGTTTGTAGCAGTAGCAGATGTTAGCTCAACCCAGATGTATGATCTTACATTTTGATTTGTTAAAGCTCATGAGATGCACCTGAGCCCACTACTCAAGCCTCTCTTGGTCCCTCTGTACAGCATCCCATCCCTCTGGTGCATTGACCACATCCCACAGCTTGGTGTCATCAGCAAACATGCTGAGTGTGCACTTGACCCAACTGTCTTTCGTGAAGGTACTGAAGAGTATCGTTCCCAGCACTGACCCCTTGTGGACACCACTCATAAATTATCTCCATCCAGTCACTGAGACACTGACCACCACTCTCTGGACTTGATCCTGCAGCCAGTTCTTTGTCCACTGAGTACTCCACCCATCAAATTCACATCTTTCCAGTTTTAAGAGAAAGATGTTGGGGGATATTGTGTCAAAGGCCTTACTGAAGTCTAGACAGATGACATCAGTGGCTCTTCCCTTACCCATTGATGCAGTGACACCATCACAGAAGGCCACTAGGTTGGTCAAGCAGGATTTGCCCTTGGTGAAGCCTTGCTGGTTCTCCTATATCACCTCCCCCTTAGATGTGCCTTAGCATAGCTTCCAAGAGGATCTGCTCCACAATCTTACCCGGCACAGATCTGAGACTGACAGGTTGGTTAATTCCCAGGGTCATCTCTTTTACTCTTTAAAAATGGGTGTTACATTGCCTTTTTCCCAGTCACCAGGGACTTCATCTAATTGTCACAACTTTTCAAATATCACTGGGAGTGGCTTGGCAACTACATCAGCTAATCCCCTCAGGACTCTAGGATGCATCTCATTGGAATCCGTAGACTTGTGGATGCTCAAGCCCCTCAGGTGGGCAGGAACTTCATCTTTGCATACAGTGAGAGGGATGTTCTTCCCCAGTCCTCTACCAAATCAAACATTTGAGGGGTGCGTGACAGGCTGTGTGACGATCAGTTATCAGAGAAGACAGCCTTCTCCTTGTCTGTTATTTATTTATATCTCAACCCAGGAGTTATACTTCGGTTTTCCCAATTGTTACATCCATCTCACTGGGAAGGAGGAGAAAGTGAAGAGCTGAATGTAGTATTGAGTATTGAGCTAGAACATAGTACTGAGCTGTCAGTTGGGTTAAACCACAACAAAGTGTTACAAATTGACCGCAACCTCCATTTCTTAGCACTGCTCAAAATAGTGGAAAAAGGTAGAACTGAGACTGAAGTCAAGCCTAAGAAGAGGAGTTAAGCAGGAAGGGATTTTAGTCTGCTCTCACTACCCATCTCTACTTGTTTAGCAACTTTAAGTAAATTTCAACATTAAACAGCTAAGCTATGGAATACAATGGTAAATTGCAACAGAAGTTGCAACTTTCTGGTCCAGGCGTTGGACAGACCGACCAGAGGTGAAGCGTTGCTAGACCTGCTGCTCACCAATGCAGAAGAGATCATTAAAGGCATTAAGGTTGGAGGCAGCCTGGGCTGCAGTGATCATGCCCTGGTTGAGTTCGTTATCTCAAGGGACGTGGGCCTGGCAAAGAGTGGCATCAGGACCCTGAACTTTGGAAGAGCTACCTTTAAGCTGTTCAATGGACTGTTGGCCAAGATCCTCTGGGATGCTGTCTTTAAAAACAAAGATGTCAAGGAGAGCTGGCTAATCCTCAAGGATGCCTTCCTGAGAGCACAAGAGCTCTCCATCCCTCCGAATAAGAAAGCGGGCAGAGGACATAAGAAGCCAGCGTGGCTCAACAAGTACCTGCTGGGCATGCTGAGAGCGAAGAAAGGTACATACAAGCTCTGGAAACAAGGGCATGTCACCTGGGAAGAATATAGGGATGCCGTCTAGGCTTGCAGACATGAGATCAGGAAAGCCAAGGTGCAGGCAGAACTGAACTTGGTGAGGGACAAGAAAAACAATAGGAAGACATTCTATAGGTACATCGGCCAAAAGAGACAGGTCAAAGCAAGTGTACCTCCTTTGGTAAATGTAAAAGGAGAACTGGCTTCAATGGACAAAGAGAAGGCTGAGGTGTCAATGAATTCTTTGCCTCGGTCTTCACTGGCAGCCAGGATTCCAGTACTTCTCATGTCCCTAAGCCCTGCATCCCTACACCTCTAGGAGACCAGGGTGGTAAATCTGAGACCACCTCAAGAGACTGAATTTGTACAAGTCTATAGGGCTGGATGGTGTGCATCCCGGGGTTCTGAAGGAGCTGGCTGAGGTGGCTGCTGAGCCGCTCTCCATCATATTTGAAAAGTCGTGGCTGGCAGGTCCCGGATAACTGGAGAAAGGGTCACGTCACTCCCATTTACAAGAAAGGGAGCAAGGAGGACCCAGGGAACTATAGGCCAGTGAGTCTCACCTCTGTGCCTGGAAAGATCATGGAACAGATCCTCCTGGATAACATGCTTGAGCACGTGAGGAATGAGCATGTGACCTGAGACAGCCAGCACAGCTTCACCAGGGGAAGGTCATGCCTAACCAATCTGGTGGCCTTCTAAGATGGAGTGATGGCATTGGTGGACAAGGGGAAGGCGACCAATGTCATTTACCTGGACTTGAGCAAGGCCTTTGACACGGTCCCCCACCACATGCTTATCCCTAAAGTGGAAGGATGTCGATTTGATGGGTGGACCACTCGATGGATAAGGAATTGGTTGAATGGCCACAGACAGAGGGTGGTCATCAATGCTTCTACATCCAGGTGGAGGTAAGTAACGACCGGCATCCCCCCAGAGGTCTATCTTGGGACTTGTGCTCTTTAACATCTTTATCAATTACATTGATGACAGAAACGAGTGCACCCTCAGCAAGTTTGCTGACGACACCAAGCTGCGTGGTGCGGTTGACATGGTAGAACGAAGGGATGCCATTCAGAGGGACCTCAACAGGCTGGAAAGATGGGTCAAGGTGAACCTGATGAGGTTCAACACGGCAAAGTGCAAGATGGAATCCCACGCATCCATACAGGCTCAAAGGAGCAGTCCTTGAGGCTGAGAGAACAGTCCTGAAGAGAAGGACCTGGGGGTCCTGATAGATGAAAAACTTAATATGAGCCAGCAGCTTGCCCTTGCAGCTTGGAAGGCAAATGGGATCCTGGGCTCCATCAGAAGAGGGGTGGCCAGCAGGGACAGGGAGGTGATTGTCCCTCTCTTCTCTGCTCTTGTGAGGCCCCATCTGGAGTACTGTGTCCAGGTCTGGAGTCCCCAGTACAAGAAAGACAGAGAGCTGTTGGAGAGGATCCAGAGGAGAGCCATGAAGATGATCAGGGGACTGGAGCACCTCCCCTATGAAGACAAGCTGAGGGAGCTGAGCTTGTTTAGCCTGGAGAAAAGAAGGAAGAAGGCTGTGGGGTGACCTCACTGTAGCCTTTTTCAATACCTAAAGGGAGCCTACAAAGAGGAGGGGAATCAACTCTTTGAAGAGGTTGATAACAGCAGGACAGGGGGAAATGGTTTTAAGTTAAGGGAAGGAAGATTTAGGTTGGATGCCATGGGGCATTCTTTACAGAGAGAATGGTGAGCAACAGGCTGCCCAGAGAGGCTGCGGATGCCCCGTACCCTGGAGGTGTACAAGGCCAGATTGGATGGGGCCCTAGGCTGTTTAGTATAGTATTAATCTGGGAGGTTGGTGGCCCTGCATGCATGGGGGTTGGAGATTCACAATCCTTGAGGTCCCTTCCAACCCTGGCCATTCTGTGATTCTGTCAAGTTCACTACAGAATCTTATCTTCCCAGTAAGATCAAACATTTTGTAGGTTCAGTATAGCAAGCGAATCATAGGACTGTCAAGGTTTATGTTTCAATTAAACTCTACATTACACAAAAAAATATGACATTGTGCCAAAATTTCTGTTCTACGAAAGATTAATGCTGAGAAATACTGGTTACATTTGTCATAATCGAGTTTACACTCCAGAATAAAGCCAGTCACTCAGGAGAAGAAAACAAGCATTAACAACCATATTAAATAAAGAAAAAATATTACTGTATCATAAAAACTTGCTAGACACTACTTGTTTTCTGTTGAAGACAGCAACAGATAGGGTGGTGGGGAAGAATGAGACATTACCCAGTACTTCAGGAGGCTCTGACTGCAGGCCTTCTGGTTGCTGTCCCTGGAGCACATTAAGTAGGGCTTGTAGGCTCCTGAGACACAAGGATGGATGAGAAAATCTGGTCTCCTTTATCAGTTCAAAAACTTCACATAATCCAACTTCAATGATCTAAAGAAAAAAAGTACAGATATTAACAGATACTGTAAAATATGATCATTTTGGCTCTTCAATATCAACATCTGAAAACGTGCTGTTATACAGCCCCTCTTTGCTTTCCCTTTCAGCATTCCTGAATATTCTGAGATTATACTTAATTTCTTTCTACTGACTGTTCCATTAACTGTCTTCTCAAAGTCAATATTTTAATCATTATGAAGATGAAAGAAAATTGAGCATTACAAATAAGTGAACGTATCTACAAAAGTTGACTATGCGTTTCTATTACAGAAATAACACTAAGGCTAAGATGTCAACAGAAGAGTCTTAATGTCTAGAGCATCTGATTCACCCTTGACTAAAAGCTGAATAAGAGTGAAATGTTATAACAAAATTGTTAACAGAACTGCCTTTCAACAAAACAGATCTGTTCTGATAGCCAGAGATAACACATACTGGAAGCCTTACAAATATCTTCTCTATCATTCAAATTATTTCAAATCCTATCTTTCAGAAGTTACTATTTTAGAATCTGCTTGATTTTTGGAGGAAGACAAGAAATGAAAATCAAGTCTTCAACAGCAGTTTTCCTGCAAGTTACACCTTAAGTTTCATACAATCGAAAGACTGGAGGAAAACATTTATGTAATCTATGGGGAACAAAGATCTGATCATGCAGGCTAAAGAACATACGGGATATTTTTAAGAAATATTATCACTGAGAAGAAAGCATATCTGAAATAAACTGAGAAGTTTATTCCATTATTCCCAGACAGAAGACTAATAGCTGGAGAAAGCAGTGAACCTAACACACGAAAAACAGCAGAGAAAGTGATATGGTAAGTTTCCATTATAGTAACTACCTTGTCATCAACTATACATAGTAATATCTTTCTTGAATGAGTTTTCATACCTTTTCCTAACTCATCTTTTTTTGAAACTACACTATTCCATTTCTCTTACTGATATATTCTCTAACACACATAATAACATTATCTTTTTAGATTCCTCTTAAAAGTATGCTGTGCATCCCACTGGTTAAGTCCCCAGCAACATAACCTAACAACTTCAGACTACACATGGTAAACTTTAAAGAGTTACTTGCCTTTGGAAGTTTAATGGGTGGCTCTTTGGATTCCTCTTCTTCATCACTGTCTGAATCCCCACTCTGTACACTGTTCTTTGACGTCAAAGAGACAGATGTTTCTTTTTTTTGCCACTCCAATACACAATGCCGGACGTTGCAGTAAACATTAAAAGCTGAAGGGTTGCTATGTAATCTGATATCTGGTATGGTTATTGTACTCTCTAGGTTTTCTGCCTAAAAACAACAAGAAGATTGAATTTTAACAAAAAGAAAAATTCTGTCTTGTGGTTTAAGTTTCCAATGTCCTACATTTGTCATATCAACACTCAGCAATTTTTGCTGACCAAGTGGTTTTCAGACTAGTAACTGAAGTTTCTGTAGAGATATGAATCATATTTCAGGCAGAGAAGAAAGGAGGAATATACTGAAGCTTCTCATCTTCCATCTGGCTTTAGTCCCTACCTCTCATGATGTGATGAGGACAGTGAGATGGAAAATGATAAAAGCAAAGGCAGTGCAGGCTACAGAAAGGTCCAAATCTGTGCCACAGACAAATGACTAGTAGATCTTCGAATTTATCTTCATATCAGTTTTAGTACTATTAATTATTTTTAAAATGCATTATTTACTGTAGCTGTTATTCTATTAGTAAATAAAGATTTAAGCTGTTTGCTAAATGTTAGAAATTAAAAATAACATTGTTTTGTCATTAAATAAAACAAATGGCAAGAGCTGTAGATAGCAACTTTACATAGATTGAAAACCTAATGGACAAACTACTGAACAAAAGAAGTCTGTAGAGACCAGTCAAGTAACAGGACATCACCTTGTCCTCAGAAGCTCTGAACCACAAAGAGTTGGGAAACTGTTTGAAGAAACTACCATTAGCTACACCCTGCCTTATGCTTCACTTTTTATCTCCTACTGGTATGTTACTGCCAGCCACTGCTGAAAAGAACCATAAGGCTCTCATTAAACTTGGAAAAATATTAGGAAAAAACATTTTAAGTTCTGCTGCATACTACCCCTTTCTGCAATAGTAAAATAAGACAGGGCAAAAGAAAGACTTTTGCAAGTACTTATAAAACAAATACACAATATCAGCTTTCAGCTTTAATGCTAACTCAGTTGAATTTCCCTAGTTAAAAAAAATAGGGAATTTACTGAGATTTTCCTATTTTACTGATACAGGAACAAAAAATATCAGGGTCATATGAGATACCTCTATGTGAAGTTCATTCATTTAATTAGTATCATGTATTGCAATTACAACTTCAGTGATGAATTTCCAGTTCCTTCTTGCCAGGAGTTCAGGCTAGTTTTTATTCCAGAACAGTTTAAGTTCTGGAGCAGTTCTGAGTTCTGTCGCTCACAGGCATTTCTTCTGAAATAGGTTGCCAAAATCATCTCACCAGCACAGATAATTTTAGACATTACAGTGCTAGATAAAATATCAATGCCCGTTCTCTTGCCTATTAATAATAAGCTGACTAATTTTCAAAAATAAACTCTCATTCCTTATTCTCGATACTTCACTATTAAAAAGTTCCTTACCTAATGCTTTAGCTTTTAAACAGTAATTACTTCAATCATTCTGTTTAATTTCACACTCTTCTGCAGAAGTACACTACAGACAAAAACCTCCCATCCAGACTTCACTACAGGCAATCTCTAAATACAGTATAGCACAAGAATGACTCAGAACTAGAATTACATATCTATGATGCAGACCCACTGTTAACATTTGTCTTACTTCATATTTCCACTTCTCCTCCCACAATACCTCATTTCTGAAAACTATAAATTCTTTGAAACTAGGAGCATCCTGTACACCATTTGTTACACACTTGACAAATGTAGCCACAAACATGATAATGCACCTTAAAAATCTTGAAATACAGTACTTCATTTTGGCAGTATAAATCCACTAGCCCTCTGACTCCACTAAATAAATCCTATTTTGAACAATATGCTGCTTGGTTGATAGAACAGGTTAAAACTGAAGGTGTAACTTCAGTTGTTTACTGTCTTTTATTTAGAAAAAAGTCAGCTAAAATATAACTCAATGTATACTAATGTTTAGCACTTATCAAGGCAAAAGAAAAGTGCACAGTAAAAACAAGACATGTCATTCCATGTTGGAGAGTAGGAATGGTAACTTTGATCCTTATATTCTTCTTTCTCTCTGCAAACTTTATCATAAGATAAAAACCACTGATAATTCATTGGTAATCAATTTGCTCAAGTCTTTCAGTGGCTTTAATTGAGGTGATTATAGTTATCAGAATATTTGTGGTTTCCTGTTACAAAACTATCTGTTCAATAGATAGGTTATATAAGAAATATTTTCTTTGTTTTCTTTTACAAACTCAGAGATAGAAGTGATATATAAAAAATTGAATAATTTTCTGCTTTCCTAGTTCAAATGTTCATTCAGCGAGTTCTTTTTCCTGGTTTTTTCATTTTGTCTTACTTGTTCCCCAGTTTCTACCTTGAAGTTCAGGTAGATGCAAGAAGCCTATCAGTGAAGACCAAAGCAAAGAACTTGTTGAGTACCTCATCTTTCTCCATGTTTATTGAAGCCAGTTCTCTCTTCTCATTTATCAGAAGGGGTACACTCTTTGCCTATGTCTTTTCAGACAAACATACCTGTAGAATCCCTTCCTATTTTTTGTAAATTTTGCTGAGTTCAGTTCCATCTAAGCTTTGGCTTCCCTGATCACATCTCTGCACATCCAGACAGCATCCCTGTATTCTTCCTAAGCCACACATCCCTGCTTCCACTGCCTGTACTTCTCCTTCCTACTTCTAATTTGACCATCAGGTCTTTGCTCAGCCATGCTGGCACTGCTTTATTTCTTATGCTGGAGGATGGAGAGAGCTCTTGAGGTCTCAGAAAGGTGTCCTTAAAGTCCTGCCAGCTCACTCTGTTTCTACATCCTAAAGAAACCTTCCCAGGGGATCTCATCCAATAGTTTCTTAAACAGCTGAAAGTTCAGGGTCCTGACTCTGCTCTTTACCAGGCCTCTATTCCTCAAGACTACAAACTCAGCCCAGACTGCTTTCAATCTCCTCTATATTGCCACACACCAGGTCTAGCAACACTTCATCTCTGGTTGGTTTGCCCAATACCTGGACCAGAAAGTTATCCTCAACAGATTTCAGAAATCTCCAGGATTGCTTGAAGCCTTCCATGTTGTTTTCCCAGCAGATGTTAGGGTGTTCAAAATCCCCTACTAGGGTGAGAGCCTGTGAGCATGACGCCTCTTGTAGCTGAAGAAAGGCCTCATCCACAGGCTCCCATTGATCAGGTGGCCTGTAGCAATTCCTAATCAACAGATGCCCTTTAATGGTGTGGTCCCAGATTTTAACACACAAGCTCTCAGAGCCACAAACAGGTTCCAGGAGGCAGCTCTTCACAATCTACCCACTTCTTAACATAGAGGGCAGCTCTTTCACGTCTCCTGCTTTTCTTATTACATCTAAAGATCCTGTAGCCTTCAACAGAAATATTCCAGTTGAAATGGTTTTCTACATAAAACAGAGCAACTAAATTTAATAGCACTCTTCTCAGTTAGCCTTCTGTGATGTTCTAATACATGCAAGGAAAGAAGTGAGAAAAACAGAACCTCTTATCTTTTTTTAAACTTGTTTACCACTCAAACCACCTCATTTATCAAAAGATGAAATCCAAACGTATCTATTTTCTGACCAATTTATTTCCTTTCTCTTCTACCAGGTAACTGCAAGAATGGCTTACTCTCAGACGCAAGAGAAATAGATATCTAACAGAGGAAAGTTAATTTGGTGTTAAAGATGGTAAACTAGAATAAAGATCTGATCTAACCTGTGTGCAGCACAGAATATAAAACCTGTCTACATTCTTTGAACACTTCAAACATCATTTAGAAATGGGTTGAGGTCAAACTATCATGTAAAACAGAAGCCATTGAGAACGTTGCCAGATTACTGAAGTATTTTTCTCTTTAAAAACACATATCATGATTTATTTTTTACATCCTGTCATCAGCTTACAATATTTTTTTTGTTACATCAACAGTACTCTCCCAAAATTTTATTCCTTATATTTGTATTAAGCTCAATAAGTTAGAATTTAGAACTTCTGCAAAAACTAAACATGAATGCATCTCACTGGAAGTACATTCTCCTCCTTAGGCAGCCTCTAATTTTTCATAGTGCTAAATAGTCACATTCATTTTCTGTGTAAAAGACATTTTATTGCTAAAGCCAAAACACACCAAATTCACATGGAAAACTTAATTATATATCAATTTTTTAAAAAATATATACTAAACTCCAAAATCAGAAGTTAAAAGTGCTAAGTGATAAAGTGATTATAACATGACTCCAGTTTCATAACAGAATAAGGTCCAAACTACTGGGCTGTAAAAGACACCAATTAATGATTCTTTTTCTCCCCTCTTCAATTACTCAGTTTTTTCTTACTTGCCATGGTTTTATGATTTTTGGTTATCAGTATTCCACAACATAACATCATGTAATGCACTGGGGGTTTGACTGTTGATGCTCAAGTTCCAGGTGCCTGTCCAGAGGAGAAGAACTACATTCCCCAAGGGGCTTTGTGGTCAGTGAGGAGATTTAACTTCTGGCAATGTCATGTGATGTTCTCTTCTTCGCCTGCACTTCTCTGTCTGCTCTTCTCCGTCTACTTTTCTTCATCGGCTCAACTGGACTGCACTTCTCACCTCAGCATTGTGGTGAGGCCTATCCACCTTTCACACACACTCTCCCTCTCTTCTCATTATATTTTGCTGATACTGTATTTAGTAAATTAGTTTGTTTCACCTCAGATTGTTGCTGCTGTTTTCAGTTATTTTGGGGTCCCATTTCCCTTTTCCGGAGGTACGGATCTGCGAATCCCTCTGCCCGCTCGTCACGGAATCGGGCCGAACCAGCCCATAAACCGCTAACATTACTCAATTGCCATTTTCAGTAAGTGCAGTGTATAGATAAAAGTTTGCAGGGTTCCTTCAGCTTATTCTTATTTTAAGCCCCACCCCCCCATCCTTTAGTAGCACAATAACAGAAAGCTGCCATCTGTATATAAAAACTCTAGTTAATATAAAATAAACTGATCTCTATTTCTCTTCTTCAGAATGAAAAGCTCATCAATACAGAACAATCTGCTCCATTATGAGACTTTAAATGGAAACCCAGGTTTTCCTAAAACAACATGTCTGCTGTCAGACACTCCCATGCAGAAACGACCATAAAGTTTATTTTGCACTGAAAAGCATGATGGGGATGAAAGAAAACAAAACACCACCACCACATTTTGTCCCTAAATGAAGTTCACTCCTGCTATCAAGCAGGAATAAGCTGGAGTGCTTTTCTACACCTATGTATCTGAGCACAAATACAACTGTTTTATCCATCTTAAAGATGCCACAGAATAGAGGCATACAGAACAAAGCATGGAAAAAAACCATTATGACTTTCCATAAGTGGAAAAATCCCACCTAGCATTTCACAAAGAAGCTGTTTTAAATCCAAGAAAAATCTTGGAAACAACCCTTCCTAGATATGATGTGCAAGATGATCATTTAGTGCCATATTTATAACTACTGACAAGAGCCAGGCATTAATACATTCGTGTCTTCTCTGTCCATTTAGAAAGGATAAATCCATTTATCCAAGGCAAATGAATCCAAGAAATATATTGAACTGTGAAGCTTGTGGGGAACAGCAATTCTAGATTTAGCTTTTTAATTAGTAGTTCAACTAGGGCACAACTATGCAGAAAGTTTCCCTTCGTATAGTAACTATAATTAAAAATGAAGAGCTAACTTATTTTAAAAGCACAAATTTCTGTTACAAGACAGAACATACGAACAACATCTTGCACTGTTTGCTCTAACTTCTAATTTGGTTTTCTGTGTTGAAGTGGGTCTAATAAAAAGGATGAAGAAAACAACTAAAACCTTTAATTTTTCAATGACTGAAAATTTAAAATTTTGTTTGGACTAGAAGTACTTAACTGTCCACCACTGAAAATAGAAGTTTTGAAGATAAGTCTCCTCTATGCTCTACTCTGAAGCTGCATTACTTGAGATAAGCAGAACAATCCAGTAAGTATCCAAAAATGCAATACTAAATTAATAGATTAAGAAGGCTTGCTTCACCCTCCTTAAGTCATTTGTCTTGAGATAGAGTAGCTACAGGACATATGGCAAATAAGGATAAGACAGCCAAAGGAACCTACAGCTTATTATAGGGACATTTAACTGACTAGAAAGTGTTTTCACTGGTTACTTCAGTGGTACTGTCCTGCAAAACCACTCTGCAGATTAGCTTCTCTTAACTGATTTTAACCAAAACCTAGGAAGAATCTTCCAGGCCTAGAGTAAACCTTTGTGAAAATTCCACCAAAAAATCTATTTTGAACAGAGAAATAATAGGTCTGTAATAGAGAAAGATTACCTCAAAGCAGTAATTTAAAATACTGTCACTTTCACCTAGATTTTAGAAACTGTTAAGTTTCTACTTCACTATGGAGGAATTTTCAAGGATAACTATTAAATTCCTTAAACATAGAATGCTCCCTTTCTCTTTTAACCAACACGGTTGGCACTGCAGCAATAGTCTCCAGTTTTTGGCTAGATGTGCATCTTTTCAAATTTAACTATAAATCAATACTGTTTTAGCTACATTTATACTCCAGGAATTGAAGGCATAAAAACATCGCTTGTATCCAATTATGTTTGCTACTAATGTTCAGCATAAAATAAAAAGGTTAACATTACTAACAGTGACATAAAGAAAGCAGTACACAGACAAAAATTGCTGGACTGTTATATACTCAAAACAACAACAAAAGAAAACTGCTATTTGAATGCTTTTTCTCACAACTCTCAATTGAAATTATTTCATTTTTTCAGTCAGAATTTTTTAAAGTTACAGACGTACCTTGTTGCGTGTTTTTACTTTTAATTTAGTCTTCTGTTTCCTTTTCAATTTTTTCTTGCTAAAAAGTTTCTTACTCCTGAAAAAAAGAGTAAAAAAACACCATGAGAATAAAATAATTAAAATTCCTCCCTCACTTCAAAGTAATCAGCAACATTAGAGAAAAAAATAGTCATAAGTCCTTTAAAACTCTTTTCCTAAGGTGGAGAACCAGTGAAGTCAGAATTTCAGAGTACAGATCAGAGGTCACTAACACAATGCTTTCCTACTGGATCAAAGATTTTTACTTTTAAAAACAGGCATCTCCATTTTGTATTTTTACCCTACTTGTTTATAGTACAAGTCCATTAACATCACACTAGTGCTAGAAGGGAGAAGACATTTTGTGAAGTCTTTACTCAGCCTTCCAATACAAAAAGATAGTTTAAAAAAAAAAACATCATTTGGCAGAGAATTCAGGTGATGGAAGAAACTGCAACTTTTGAACATGCACGTTTTCAAACTTCTAAGTGTTCTTCTTCCATCCTCAACTTACAGACTTTTAATTTCCATTCCTTCACACTACAGCTCCAGCTAACCCCATGCTCCTCTAATCCTCTTCTGCCCACACCTCATTCCTATCGCATTCTTTTTCTCCAGTTTATTATCCAGTTTATAAAAATCACAATTAAAAAATACACAAAGATGATACACTAAGAATAAAAGACAACATACATATATCATAAGCAAGGTTATTCTGCTTGAGACATATGCATTTTAACTTACTCTACATTTCTCTACTCTGTTCAGACTACAAGTCCTCTGCAAAAACAAGCTAATGTTACCCACATAGCATACAGCTCATTCTAGACTGGAAAGCTGCTAACATTCCTCTGTGCCACTCAAACGTTACTCAAATGGTTTACAGTTCCGATTAGTTAGAAAAATAGAAGTACGGAAGCTGAAAATCACAGACACCAAACTGGAAAGAGACTGAGAACTGAAGCAATCTAGTATTTTATCTGAACAACTTTGTTCTAAATAAAAATGTTGATGGACTAGAAACACATTGCTTACAACTTTCTCAGCATTCACATCTGAAGAGGATACAAGTCCCATGATCCAGCAATCAAAGGCTAGAAACTAAAGTTTTATCAATGCTGACCAGCCAGAAAAAAATAATCAAATAATCCCTGCAAAAAGTTGCCCTGAAGAAATCTCATCTAGTAACACTACAATTAGGAAGACAGAGACATGTTCTTCAAGACACTTCCTACAAGAACCAATACTGCATCACTTTTCTTGTAAATTTTAAGTCTTGAATATTAAAAGGAACAACCATTATCCTGGAGTTCAAAGAAGCATTTCAGTGATCAAAGAAATCACAGCAAATTAAAGTTTATAAAGATAACATAGATGACCTTCTAAGATCAATTCAACTGTAAAGGAAAATACATCAAACATCTGTCCAATCTATTTAAGAAAAGAAGGGGAGAAATGGTAAAAATTCACACAATTTCTCATGTCTGAATCTCTATAATCACCTTCCATAGTCTGTTTCACTATTCTATTATTCTTACACTGGACAAGTTTTAATTCCTTATTACAGTTTAACGCAATCAATTCTTATTCTGTTGCCAAACAAGAAGAACAACACTGCAGTCCCTTCCATTCTGTAGCCACTCGATCTTCTACTCTGGTCCAAACACCATTTTATAAAATTCTCATCCTCGATTCAGGTGGAAAGCCCATTGGGATTTCTGTCTCTTCCTATCAAATGCAAACCACATTGACCAAAACTGAAGCAGTACTTATTTTATTATTCACTGTTGAGCAGAGGAAAAATTGCTTCATATGCCCCCCAATATCACACCTACCTGTATGCCAGGTTTTACCTTGCCAGCCGACAAAAGCTTGATAATATTTTCCTGCAAACTAAGCTTGCTTTATTCTTTACCTAGCTCTGCTGTTATGCCTTTTAGTATAGAAGAGTGCAGCACAATTATCCAATTTTCACTTACCAGAGACGACTTTATAAGGGAGTTTCTTTTTTTAAAAAAAAAAAAAAACAAAACACTAACCCCTCTTGTCAAGACATTTGAAGTTGAATCCTGCCTGCCAAAATCCTTACAAACTCTTCAAACTTATTCCAGTCTGCAAACATTTTCTCCTTTCTACCTTGCAAATATTTCACAGAATAATACTCATATTTTGGTAAGCATTTTTCTGTAGACTTGTACAACACAGAATCCCAGAATTGCAGGGATTGGAAAGGACCTCAAAAGATCATCAAGTCCAACCCCCCCCGTCAAAGTAGGTATCCTATAACAGGTGTCACAGCTATGCATCCAGACGGGTCTTGAGTATCTCCATAGGAGACACCACAATCTCTCTGGGCAATCTGTTCCAGTGCTCCATCACCCTTACCATATAGAAGTTCTTCCACATGTTAGTACAGAACTTCCTATATTCAAGTTCTAGGTCATTGCCCATTGTCCTGCCACTACACATTCACCTCCCACCTCCGTTTTAGATATTTACATCCCCTCTCAGTCTTCCTTTCCCCAGGCTAAACAGATGCAGGTTACTCAGTCTTTCCTAATTTGGGAGATGCTCCAGGCCATTTATCATCTTCGTGGCCCTATGCTGGACTCCTAGGAGATCCCTATCTTTTTTGAACTGGGGAGCCAGAACTGGACACAGTAATCTGTGGCCTCATCATGGCAAAGTAGAGGAGGAGGATCACCTGCCTCAACCTGCTGGCCACAATCTTTTTAATGCATTCCAGGATACCACTGGCCTTCTTGGACACAAGGGCACACTTCATGTACATGGCCAACCTGCTGTCCACCAGAACACCCAGGTCCTTCTCCACACAACTCCTCTCAGCAGGTCATCCCCTAACCTGTATGGTTATTTCTCCCCAGGTGCAAGACTCTACACATGCTGTAGTTAAACCTCATAAGGTTCATCCCTGCTCAAGTCTCCCATCTGTCCAGGTCTTGTTGAGTGGTAGTACAGCTTTCTGGCATGTCTGCCACTCCTCCCAGCTTTGTATCATCAGCAAACTTCTGAGGGTGGACTCCACCCATTTATCCAGGTGGTTAATGAAGATGTTGAACAAGATTGGATCCAGCACCAACCCCTGGGAAATGCTGCTTATTTAACAAAAACCCCAAAAATTAAAGCTTATTTTTAATCCTAAGATTCATTTCCAAAATAAAGTTCAGAACTAGTAAGCAATTAATCACGAAAACAAACAGGAAACCAACTCTATAAGTAGTTCCAAACAAACATCTGTTTACAATGTATGAATGAAAAAAGAACATTGATTTCCACAGGTTTACCGTTAAATACCGTTACATCATAAGATTTTAATATTCAGATAGTGAAGATAATATATGGGTAGGTCTACTCAAGAAAAATAATGTTGGGAAGATTGAGTCATTTCCTGTTTAAAACCACAACTTAATTACAAGCCCATCTCTTCTACTGCCTGAAGATTAACAACACCTGATAAGGCTTGATTTTCTCACTAAATTATCAACTTGTTTTAGCAACAACTGTAAATTACTATAAACTGTCAGTTGTTGTCAACAGTTTGACAACAAACAACAGTTGTAAAGGTCCTGAAACTCTATGCTAACAATTTAATTCCAGTGACAGAAGCTCTTAACTTTCAAGTCAGATGTTGATACTATTCAGTTCAATAAACCAACTTTCAATTGTCAGCAAATTTTAGGCAAGTTTTCTGCAAACAGTTTCAAGCCTTTTTATTTGAGGCTGAATTCATAATTTTGAATTGGCACCCAAAGGAAATCAATTGAGTACAGAACATGAGGAGACCTTGACAATAAGTTACTTCAGTCGAGAGGACCTAACAGATGAGCACAGGGTTTTATTACAGCCTTCTCAGAAAAATCACTGAAAATAAAAGCAAAGAGTGTCAATGGTTTACGGGCTGGTTCAGCCCTGTTCCGTGACTAGCAGGGCAGAGAGATTTTGCAAAATCCATGTCTCTGGAAAAGGGAAACAAGGGACTCTGAAATAATTAAAGACAGTGGCAACGATCTGAGGAGAAACAAACTAATTTACTATATACAGTATTGGAATGCACTATCTCTGACCACAAGGCCCTCTGGGGTATGTAGTTGTTCTTCTCTTCCGGACAGGTGCCCAGAGCATTAACACCTTAACTCCCAGTGCACTACATGATGTTATGATGCGGAATACCGATAACCAAAAATCATAAAGCCATGACAGACAGAAAACATTGGATTCTTAACTGTTTAACAACAGTCACAAAAAAAAGAAAACCAACGATTGCTGGGCAATTTAAAACAGATTTTAAACAACATAATTTTAACTTCTATTCAGCTTTCCAGTATCTTTAGCAGATGGCAATAACAGCATGCTTCACTCATTTCTTTTCTGATTAGAAGTAGCACTAGCTAGCAGTTGCAATATTTGCTGCACTGCAAGTGGGATGCTCCTCAATCACCCCAAAAGCGTTGCTTTTACTGTTTGGAAGATCTGAGGAAATGCAAACAGAACGCTTCCCCTAAGGCTGAACAGCCCTCATTTGCAATTCATGACATTAAATTTGAGAAGGAAGAAAAGTTTTGTTTTGTGTTGAGCAGCCAGTGTTGTTACTGAATTAGTCAGTATAGGTTAACCTTGTATGTGTTCACATCTGCCTAAGTTCTTCTAGGTTTTATGTTGCACTGAAAGACTGCTTAATGGAAAAAAAAAACTGTACCTGCTGCTGAGTCAAAACAAGAGCAACACAAGTTACATTAAAGTTCTGTTGGCCCTTAAACTTGTACTCATGTCTGAAATTTCTTACCAAAGGTCACAGTAACAAGTGCAACACAAGACCAAGTCATTCTACTGCTGATAAAAATCTTAATTTGGAGGGAAAAAAAATGTGAATTCAGAAACCTACTTCCTACTAGATGCTAAAATTCTTAAAACCTATGAACTGATTTTGAATCAGTGTATTTGTGTAAACTTGATGGCTTCAATTCAATAATCATCTTAGGGAAGGGGTATACGTTTGACAGGAGAGGCCCATTTGTCAAGCTGCAGTTAGACATGCTA